CTGTTTTTCAAACATCTGCTTAAATGTTCGGGTTGATATAAAAGAACGCTAAACCGAAACAGCACTAAACGAAACAGCGTTAAGCGTGGTCTTACTGTACTTATAAGTATTCTGTTGAAATACTTTATTATTTATGTCCTCAAATTTTCTCGACGATATCGTTTTTATTATATATGCTATTGAAAAAATGGTTCTTTAACTATCTTTTAGTTTAATATTCTAAAAGAACTGAGTGATATGTCTAAAGTTCGGAATGGTTGCGACATTATACCTACTTCACATTACGCGAAATATTATTAACTAACAAACTGAACTTATTGCTGTTGTATATGTGTTTATTGGTTTCAAACTCTCTTACATCCTTCAAGACGATATCTCGTTCCTTTTTACTCATACTTTTTTATTTTTTCCTTACTCGATAACTCGTATTTTAGACAAGTTATTGCAGAAATTCTCGCATTATTGAACTAATTGTTTTAGTTGACTCTCAGTATTAGTTTATTTCACTCAAATTTCTGATTGCACTTTCTCTCAAAACGAATATGGAATGTAAATGCAGATTCTTTTCTTGGGATACCACTGGTTTATAATTTGATAATCTGTCGTAATTGATTGAAATATTAAGACCAGGGCATCGAACATGGTCTCCATTCCGGTATAAGAAAAAATAAATATGTCGGTTCGATTCCGATTCGATGCCCTTGTTAAAACAATCAAATGGTGCGTCATCTTAAATGTCTTTTGTGTCTTCCTAAAAATCCATCTTACAGCATAAACTATTTTATGGTTGTAAGACATTATTATCATCAAAAAATTTTCTAAATTTTTCTATAGAGAAGTATTGTTTTAATTTATGCAACAAATATTCTGCTTTATGTATGTTAACATTGTTAACACATATAACTAGTGATACAACCAATACACAAAAATGCTTGGCTCCCTGAACAAGAAGGAAGCGGAGTTTCACAACTCTTGTTACTTTTTGGACACAGAAGTTGGAGTGCCTGTTTTACCTTAGAGTCTAAAACTAGAGGCGACCAAGTGATGAAAATATTGTGGTTCTGTTTCAAATAAGTTATTCGAAACCTAAACATATTATTTTAAGTTTTACCAGCATTTTTTCTCGCCCGTAGGCACATCACCCGGCTCCAGGACCTTCCCCCTGACGTCTCTATTCCTATTACCCTCCCTGAACACCTTGTTCTAGCCTTGCGCTTTGAACCCTCCAATATCTGTCCCACTACTTCAATGAGTAGGCTCCAGTCCATCCCCCTATATAACCGCGCCTTTTGTAACCCCAGTCACAAAGTTTACCACTAACCTCACCCACGCGCATCTGCTTTAACCCCTCTTCCTTCTTTATAACCCAGTTTCTCTAATGTACGCCCTTACTTTCTGGATTAGATGAATTTAGCTCGCTAGGTACTAAATCATTCCACAGAGGTGATTTGGTAGGCTTAAGTCTCACACGGTAGCTTTCGATGCTTCCACCTACTGTCAAAGAAAAAGATGAGGCATTTTGAACAGTAGTTAATTACAACAACAAAATTTATTATTTATTAATTGATTGAATTTTTGGCTAACCATACGCTCCTTCGAGTTTTGCTAAATATCCCTAATCACTGGTCTTGTAATTATTACTTATATATAATTATTTGTAAATAATTTATTTTTTTGAGACTGGAAGTATTAATAATTGAACTCATGCCCTTTCAAATTATTTACGAATAATTAAATATTAAATATAATAATACAAAATAAAATTTGACCGCAGTGTTTGAATAAAAACAGAAAATCCAAATAAGCCAGAAAACGGGCTAATAGCGTCAGTGGAGCTACCTTGCGAAAAATAGTCTACAGAAAGAGATGTCATCAAATCTTCTATTTTTAAATTAACATAATTTTTAACTTGACCAGCAGAAAATACGTTGCTTTTGTTAAGAAGTCTAACTAATATGGTGTACCCTCTATATCTGTGAAGCCGATTGTTTACAATAACAAATTTATTTACTTTTCTAACTTTATTACACAATGAAAATGAGTTTCGACTTTGTATAAACAATATTCATACATTTGGTATTATTTTAGATTTAATAAAAGGTATTTACTAAATAATTTCTATCATTCTACTAAAACAAAACAAAAAGGTTTGAATATAACCACAAGACCATTTTTGAACAAGTTATATATAATTTTTTTTTACAACTTTAGCAATCGGTATAATACTTTAAGAATCAAGCCTAACAATGATTCCACTGATTATATTTTCTTATTCCAACGTATATGCAAATGAAACCATATCATTTTAGAAAAGATTTCAACATCTTCTACTTTATATGAAACGTAATTAAATTCTGTTAAATTATTATCAATGACTTTTTCAACTAATTTTCTAAATTAGCAGCATGAAATTTATAATAACATCCCTGCTTCATGAAGTTATCTTAAGCGTTTCCAACAACGAATCTCTGCAGGAAATATTTTAATAAATTTAATTAATTTGGTGTATTTTCTCACAATAACCTCAATTCAAGTAAGAAAATTTATTTTTCCTAACGCAATGGAAATTTATCTAAACTGTAAATTTTTATGGCCATTTAATTTTTGTGTTTCAAGTAATTTGGCGCTTACTTCAACGGTTTTATGTGCATATTACACTTTACTAGATGTTTTCTATTTACTTAACGATCTTCTAAATTGCTGCCATGTCATTTTGTGGGATGTTTTTCACCTGAATATTATTTGGTTTACTCCGTAGCATTGCAAAAGTGGAGTAATTTTGTTTGAAATGGAGCTGTTTTCAATAGAGATTTTCAACTTGTTTTCAGCTATTTATGTTAGTTCAATATTTACTTAATTTTAGGTTTAAATGTTTTACATCTGAGCTTGAAACTTGGTTAAATGTTTTCAAGCATTACTACTTCAAAAACTATACAAAAACAAAAATGATTCTCAATAAAAAGTTCAATTACTGTTATTTTGAATATTTGATTTTATGTAAAGATTGCACAATATGAGTTAACTTGTTCACAAAAAAAAAAAAAATGTATTAGAGGTCGCTTCATTGAAATCGAAATTTAGGATCAAAATCTGGAATCGAAATTTGGAATGAAAATTTCGAATCGAATTTTGGAATGGAACTCAGTAATTACAATAAACTCTATATAACTTTACTAATCCTACTATTACAATAAATCACTTCCGTACAGATTACTAAAGATGAAGAAAATAAAGAAGATTGCACCATGATAACCGGTACGTATTGTATTCAATACAATCACACTGCAGTGAGAATCGTCAGCTACTGAGCCAGAAACTACTACTAAATGCCTGTCCTGCATAATTGATTTTAACTGCAGATGTTTCTTCTGTTATATTTTCCCTTCACTCATACTTATTCATACCACAAAACTAACTTTTACATAATTAGTACAACACTAATCATTATCATATATCAAAATAATAATAATACACACAAAATGAAATTCAGACTAAATCTATTACAATACCTTCAATATCAAGTGCATAAGAATTATAATTTTCACTACTAATTCTAAAGTTAAAGTCATTAAATCCTACATGATTTTGTAGTTTCACATAGCTCAGCAAATAAAGACAACGAGCTGTTTTGTGCTGTTTTGTGCTGTTTTGTGAAAAACAGCTTTTCGTTATTTTAAACCTCGAATAATATTTGCAACACCAAATCGACAAGTCGACAAGTTAAAAAAGATACAAAGACAACGACAATATATTTTCTTTCGGGACCAGAAAAAAAAGTTGCATATAATAATTCATAACAAACAATGTACAGGATATGCTTAACAGAGCTCAGTGTTTAAATAGTGCTATGATACTAACTAATAACAAAAAATAAAACATCTCTAAATAG